AAATAAAATTATTTAAATATATATATATATATATATATATATATATATCAGAAAATGTTTAATTTCATATTCCTTATAAATTATTTCAATATTAAGTTAATTTGTATCAAAAGTACATATGTATTTTGCTAAAATAAGTACAATATACTTTGTGTTATTGTTATCGAATTTGCTTTAATCCCATCGCTATGGTTGACAGAAAAATATTCTTTTTATTTTAAATAAATTCATCAATTTTTTTCTCTCACGTAAAATTTTAGTTTTCAATTGTTTCAACCAAAATTGTGTAAGCCTGTGTTAAATTTCAATTCACTACGCCAGAAAACAGCAGAAAATCTATCTAATCTTAAAACTTAAAAATGACATAAAAAAATCCAATTTTGTGTATCGACTAAACTAAGTATATTTACAGTTATCTCTTACTTGACCTCCTAGCACCACTTTTCATGTGGAGAATAGCGATGTCACTGTAATATGCACTACTACGAGGGCTGTAACCTGGATGGATTGTTATTTTATCGATTTTACGAATATGCCTGGTGTTACAGTTCTTTCCATCAGAAGAGCAGTCGAGTTTTGTTTCAGTATTATGTTCCCCCAACACCACTGAAGTACTGAAAAGAAATATTCACGAGATCATGATCGCTGCCGTTAATAATTACCTAAAATAAAAATTAATCTATCCAAATTATACTAATGCGAAGAAATTGTTCCTTCCTCACGGAATTTAATTTCGCATTACAAAAATAATATATCTCAATAATACGAAATTGACTGCATTTTTAGTAGACTCACTTTTTAACTCACGTGGACAGCACAATGTACCAAAAAAGTTTAGTTTAGACAAAAAAGTCCAGTTTTTACAGCCTCAAGATTGATTATAATCGATCACCGCCGACGGTATTTTTGTAACTGGAGGTTGCGAAGATTTTCTGTAAACTTTGGGCCGGAATAGTAAACGAATGGCTCATTGGACCTTATACCAAATCAGTTAGATTAACAAAGGTGTTTATACCTTTTAAGAATTATTTACTATATGATGTTCCGCTAGAGGTTCGTCGAAACAGGTGGCACCTTCCTGATGGTGCTGCTTGCTTTAAGGCAGGACTTTGCTGAACGGTGAATTGGGTGATATTTTCCTGTTGCATGGCCCGCCCGAGCACCAGGTTTTAATCCGTGTTACTTTATTTATGCGGTAGTTTGAAACAAATAGTGTACTCCTCTCCAATTAATACGGTTTGGGGAACTACGAAATCGATTAGAGAACGACGCCAGGATAACCGCAAAAACTCGGAAATCATAGTGAAGATGAGAAAAAATTTTCAACGTTTTATATAATTATGCTTTGACAATAACGAAGGTCATTTTCAATATTTGCTGCAACTTAATTTAGTCAAATAAGTGTGAACTTGTCGAAATAACAACCTTAATTCGTTATACTTTAGTTCATCAGTTTTACTTAACAAAATTATTTTTCAAGAGTAACCGAATTAATTCCGCATCTTTTTGTTTATTTTCCAATGAATTAAGTGTTTCGGTTTATGCTCCAGTGGCGGGTATTAAAAATTTATAGTTTACAAAAGTATGTCTTGAAACCTAAGAGGTTTTCGAAAAAAAAAATTGAACAAAAGCTGTTGACAAGTAAAGTAATTGGTTAAAATTTTGGCGCTTAGCTTGTGTATTGCGGATATTGACTAGTGTGATTTTGTTCAAAGTTATTAGAAATAAGAACAAAATGTAACTTCTTTGAAAGTTTGTAACATCCTATTTGATGATTTCAATAATCAAATCTATGTTCTCTCATTGGAGAGATTGTTTATTTCTTGAAATATTAAGAAATAGCTTGTTTATGGAAGTATTTCTTTAGCATATACAGGGTGTCCCGGAAATGGTCGGCAATCTCTCGGATATGGATAGATAATGAGAAAATAATGTCACAGTTCATATAAAATTTTTTCCTCCGGACTCACCCTGTAGAGTTATTAGCTCTTGAAGTTGAGAATTAAAAATGGTTTTTTTGCTGTAACTTTTGTATTTTTCAATAAATTTTGAAAATTTTTTGGCTGGATCTATAATTTTTGAAGCTGCTTTGGATGATAATATGAAATCCTCGATAATAATTATGGGGGCCCGGGGGCAAAGCACCCCGCACAAAAATTTCTAGAAAAAAATTTTTGTTCCACTATACCCCAAATTTTCCATCATTTTATAAAAATTTATAGTATTTTACGTAAAAAAGGTATACTTGTTGAATATCCATAAAATAGATATTTTTTTAGATAAACCCGTTTAAAGAAGAAGGTACCATTTAATTTGAGACATTTTATTTAATTGAAACACAGATTTAATCGTGGTTGGCTTTGACATGTCAGAGTATGCCAAAGGCAATTAAATTGTCAAACTTGTCAAATACGTAGTTTTAAATCTAAGACTTATGTCATAACTCATAATTTATAAACAGGGGTGCCCCGCGAACAGCACGTACAGTTGAAGTAGAGGTAAATATACTGGACGAAGTTGCTGCTCATCCAACAGTTAGCATTAGGTCATTATCTTCTTTTACCAATGTTCCAAAGACCACTGTTACAAGAATCCTTAGAGAACAGCTTCTTCACCCTTACCATATCCAAAAAGCGCATGCTCTTATTCCTGATGATTTTCGTGCAAGAGTACAGTTTTCCCAATGGTTTCTTCAGATACATGAGCAAAAATCCTATGTTTACGAGATTAATTCTGTATACTGACGAAGCAAGTTTTGGGAGGAATGGAGTTATTAACTCCCATAATTTACATTATTGGTCTGATGAGAATCCACACGCTATTATTGAAACTAGGCACCAAAGACAATTTTATGTTAAGGTTTGGAGTGGAATTATTGGTCCTTACTTATTGGGTCCATTTGTGTTACCCCCTAGACTGAATGGTCAACGTTACCTAGATTTCCTTGTGCATCAATTACCACACCTGTTAGAAGATGTTGATCTTGAAACCAGAAATGCACTGATATTCATGTACGATGGGGCGCCGCCTCACTTTAGTGCTGCAGTAAGGGATCATTTAAACGAGGTATGTCCTAATCGCTGGATAGGTCGCGGTGGACCTATTCATTGGCCTGCCCGAACTCCAGATATGAACCCACTTGATTTTTTCTTTTGGGGGCACTTGAAAAATCTTGTTTATTCCACACCTGTAACCACTAGAGAAGAATTAGAAGAAAGGATTTTTTATTCTGCAAATGAAATACGACAAAATCCTGAAATGTTATGGAGAGTGCAACAGTCTTCTGTTAAACGAGCTCGTATTTGTATAAGAGAAGGTGGAACTAATATTGAGAATTTATTATGAATTATATTAGTTACAAAATTTTGATTGTCATGCACTTTTCGTTTAGTTAGTTTAGTTAAGTCCAAATTCTCATAATTTGGAACACTGCTATTGCAAATTATTTGTCCTTTATTCTGATATGTAAAAGCCAACTACGATTAAACCTGTGTTTCTGTTAAATAAAATGTCTCAAATTAAACAGTACCGTTGTCTATAAACTCGTTTTTCTACAAACGTCATTAAGGTATAATTTTAACGCATGCTGTCAGTCAATTTCATTTTATGATACTAGTGTTATAAGTGAATTATTTTTAGCACTAGTGTTAAAAGTAAGTCATGTGTTTACCTTTATGGCCACTGTTATAAAATCACACTTTAGAAACTGTCAGTACACGTTGAAAATTATACAAAATTATGTTTTATGGATATTCAACAAAAATACCTTTTTTGCGTAAAATACCATAAATTTTTATAAAAAATGATGGAAAATTTGGGGTATAGTGGAACAAAAATTTTTTCTAGAAATTTTGGTGGGGGGTGCTTTGCCCCCGGGCCCCCATAATTATTATCGAGGATTTCATATTATCATCCAAAGCAGTTTAAAAAATTATAGATCCAGCCAAAAAATTTTCAAAATTTATTGAAAAATACAAAAGTTACAGCAAAAAAACCATTTTTAATTCTCAACTTCAAGAGCTAATAACTTTACAGGGTGAGCCCGGAGGAAAAAATTTTATATGAACTTGTGACATTATTTTCTCATTATCTATCCATAACCGAGAGATTGCCCACCATTTCCGGGACACCCTGTATATTTGGTACGAAAATGTGTTGTGGATACTATGATTATAACCAAACATATTGCACTCCTTTGCGAGAATTTAGGAATTTTTTAAGAATTAATTTCAACTGGTTTAATACCTTTATTGGGAAGAGGATCAAATTAATGAAACAAAAGATGAAAATTGATTTTCAATATTCAATAATATTGAATAAATGAGTATTACAAAAGGAAATATTCACTGTAACGTATACTTTTACTTACAGTACTTTATCTACAACGTTACCAGGATGTACACAGTGGGCTGCGGTAATCACGTGGTTATAGTTTAATAAAAAACCTGAGCACCCAAATACTTTTTGGCCGTCTTTATTTCTGTACATCAGACGGGCTATCCAAGGAAACTCCCCTAAAGAAGCTTCTTTCCCACCCATTATTCTGCTTTCGAACGCTACCTCCTGATGACCGCAAGATCTCGGGAATATTCGGTTCATTTTGACTACAAAAATTATACTGCATATTTATATATTTTTCCTTTACATAACTTCGGATTTTGGAAACGCCTCTGTTTCTCTGTTAATATCGAACACAAATTATAAAGTCTGTGAAAATTAAAGCATTAAATAGTAACTTAAAATGCTGACTTTAGGGTCGCAACTTAAAAGTTATCATTGTGGCCGTCTTTTAAAAAAATATTGTTTTCAAAATCCTCAGTTATGACAAAACATTTTGCAAAAATCATCACTACTACTGAGTTCATCATCCATGTCAGTGATGTTCGTTATACAGGGTGTCCAATTTTAAATAACGCACCTGAATATCTCGTCAGGGAAGCCACCAATCACAACTCACGTAAGTTAGTGAATTCGGAGGGGCACATCGGATGGTGACCTCCAATTTAACCTTCACCGTGATCTTCAAGGTCATTTCAAGGTCAAATCTATTTTTTTAAATAGTAACATCCATTTTTGACCCCAGATTCAGAAAGATTGCAAAACTTTACGTTTAGATAGCTATTTAAGGCTATTCTTTGGAATGATCTTTAAAGGTTATATCAAGGACAAATATTTTAAATTATGCACCTGAATATCTCGTCAGGGGAGCCACCAATTCGAAAATAACCCTTACAAAATGTGTTGGGTTCGGAGAGGGACATCGGATGGTATTCTTCAATTTGATCTTGAAGACGATGAATAACCTTAACTACCTATCTAAACCTAAAATTTTGCGCTCTTTCTGAATCCCGGGTCAAAAATAGAGGTTAATATTGAAAACATTAGATTTGACCTTCAATTGACCTTGAAGGTCAAAGTCAAATTGAAGGTCACTATCCGATATCCCCCTCCGAACCCAACAACTTTCGTACGGTTATTTTCAGATTCGTGGCTTCCCTGACGAGATATTCAGGTGCGTAATTTAAATATTTTTCCTTGCAATAACCTTTAAAGGTCATTCAAAGAACCTAACTACCGGAACGTAAAAATTTGCGTTCTTTTCGAATCCGGAGTCAAAAATAGAGGTTCCTATTTAAAAAATTAAACCTGTTCTTCAAATGACCTTGAAAGTCAAGGTCAAATCCAAAGGAGGTGATTCCCTTGAAAGTTGAGAGGGGTTTCAAGAATAAAACTGTGATCGATTTGTCTACGTTTCCTTCTTTGATATTGATTGATTATTTACACCCAATACATAAGCAAAATTAAACTATAGAAATTAAGGCATACAAGAATTTTTAAATGATCAGATTATTCGTTTGCTTCTTTGCGCTTGCATTATGTGTTTCCTGAAATAATCCTGAAACACCCAGTATAGGATTCCCTTAAAACTTCAGATGTAATAATCCAGAGATTTAAAAAACCTCAAATTTTTATTTTTAGTTTTAAGCAAAAAATAAGTTAATATTCATTTTTGATTAATTCAACTCTCCCCTACATCAAATTTCAATGAAATATTTTTAAAACTGACGAAATGAGGTTACTTGATCTAAATCAGTTTATGTTCACACAAGAGAGTACCTTTGGTCTGTTCTATTGATACCTTGTTGAACATTTTACTTTGTAGTTGTTGTAAGGTAGGTAGAACTGACAGAAATGATTTTAGATATTTGGATTTTTTAACTGTCATAATAAGGGTTCCAATATTATCAGTGGTACAAGATGTTTCCTTCATCCGGTATTTATTCTAATTTTTTTAATGAATAAATAGTGCGTACCACGTCTGAAGTTATCGTACTTTCCACAGCATACTTTTGGGTTTGAAATGTCTTCCTTTGGTGATCCACATCGCGATGCAAGTAAAAATTCTCGAGCGTCCGTATTGTTCACTTGGCTTAACAATATATTACACTGTTTGATTCTGATGCAAAATCCAGTGTCGTGATTTGGCGTTCTACATTCTCTTACGATAACTGAAAAAAAAATACCAACACAATTGCGGTCAGTTCCCCATGACGTGTTACAAAATTGTTTATAGAACTTTTTGTTACTGTTAACGAAATACGTTTCTGCTAATGTGTAGTAAGCTTTTAGCTTTAATTTGCAATGACTGCAATTTTTTCCCTGTGATTTTTATTTCTTAAATATTTCATCCACTTCTTTTCGTTTATAGTGAAAGTATTTGCCAATAGTTTGTGGCTTTCGTATCAGTCCTTTTTTTAAACTGGAGAGTGAAAGTCATCTCTGTTTTTAGTTCAATTGTATGTAATAAATTACGAATTTAGCAAATCTACACGCGCCTCAACTACATACCCAAGCGCAGCTATATAAACTATTTTTAAAACACTGACGTTGCATCGATGTTTCACGCTTACAATTAAATAGATTCTGCATTTAACTACTGGTACTTTTTAATTTATCTTATAATATTAAATAAATTATTGTTAAAATGTAAACATTTAGAAAAATAAATGATATATGTTTAATACATATGATTTTAGTAGCATTTAAATATGAAGATAACCTAAGGAACTCAAGTAAATACCGCTTACTCATCAGAATTCGTATGCAACACAATTTTCAACCAGTCATAGTCCATTTACTTATCTAATTTGTTCCAAATTGTTATAGGTAAATATATTTACAGTTTTGTTGTTTTCGGAGAGGCGCGATAGCAAAGTTAGGTTATGATTTCAAAATCAAGTAGATTTTCTTCTACTTGTCCTTAATTTTATTAACAACTTACCTGCCGCTTCATTCTTGTCAGATACTGCCTCCGTAGAATTCGAGACAACGCTTACCACACAGACACTATAAATAACACATGCATACCACAGGCTAATCGAATACGCCATTCTATGGAGTGAACGCGAATTGACTGTCAACAGTGTAGACTTGCCTAATAAACGATCGCCATTTTAATTAGAACAAATCTAGTTACCAATGAGAGGCGCTTTACAACACTGGCGCGAAATTTAATACGGTTCTGTAGCAGTGCAACGCTTTAGAAAGTTCAGTATCTGGCTTTTCGGTATAACGAATGGACTACAAACAATTTCATCTGCTATACAGGGTATCCCAACGAAAATTTGATCCCCCCTATAATTGGAAAACCGAATAATATTTCAAAATTCGCCGAGACCCGTCGATTTTTGTTCTTGGGGGGAGCTTTTTTGACAGTCAAGCCAACTCGATATGTTCATCCCCCTAATGCCTAGCAACCCCAACTTAAAAATTTCAAATGCAACTACCCCACTTGTGGCACATCATTTTAAAGCCCTTTTCATTGCGAATACAGTGACGTACCGTTTTTAGAAATCGGTTGAGATTTGACAGAATTATTGGTTACAAACGAAAAGATGACAAACCAACTTACGCGTAGTAATTTCTACACAAATGCCCACCACTAATAAGTTTTTCATCTACTACACATGACCGCATTACCTAATTGTTATTGATGTGTCTATCAGTTTACAAAAAAGTCAGAAATGAAATAAAAAAGCTGAAGCAAATAATAAATCAGATTTATTTGATGAATTGCTCAAAATGACCCCCGTTAACTTCCAAACAATAATACAGTCTGTTTTCAAATTCTGTTCGAACATTATTAAAGACATCCGCAGTTATTAATCGGCATTCTTCTACAATTCTCTGACGTAGCACTTGCAATGTTTCCGGCTGAGTGGCGTACACTCGTGATTTTAAATGACCCCACAGAAAAAAGTCCAAAGGGGACAGATCCGGAGATCTTGGTGGCCATTCGACGGGACCTCTTCTGCCAATCCAATGCCCCGGGAAATGGTCATCCAAAAATTGTCGCACAGCAGCAGCATAGTGCGGGGGCGCACCATCTTGTTGGAAGGTTATTTCATTTTCTAGTAAATTGTCGTCACTTTCTAAAATCTCTGTTATCCTAGGATCAATTGTACTTTCCAATAATTCTAGATAGGTGTTTCCATCGAGATTACCTTGGATGAAAAATGGTCCAACAAGATGGTCGCCCAAAATGCCTGCCCAAACATTCAATTTTTGAGGTGTCTGAGTATGAAATTCCCTGATTAAATGCGGATTAGTATCACTCCAATAACGACAATTGTGTCTATTCACTTCGCCATTCAACATAAATGTGCATTCGTCGGAGAAACATGTATTGTAGAGAAGATTTGGATTCAGTAGAAGTTGTTCACTAAAGTATTCGCAAAATTGGTTACGGCGATCAAAGTCATCTTCATGTAACTCTTGAACCAGCGTCATCTTAAATGGATGAAACTTGTGTTTTTTCAAAATTCGATGAACACTGGAACGGGATACGCCAGAAGCTTGAGACACAGTTGTAATCGATTGCTTATTATCCATCTGTACATGACCCAAAACTGCCACTTCAACTGCTTCATTTCGAACTGGCCCAATTACTTCACGTTTCTTGTTTAAAAGCGAACCTGTTGCAACAAATTTGTCAATCAGGTGTTTAACGTACTGGTGGTTTACATTTTTTTCAGGATGATTGGCATTAAAAATTCGTGCTGTAGCTTTAGCGCAATCGTGATTTCGATAATAAATTGCAACAATTTCTACTCTTTCCGCGATAGAATAAACCATTTCGAACACACGTTAATACTTTCAATAACGGCTGAAACTAACGATTTCTTGGTCACAAGCAAAAAACACCGACTTTTTTTGTAGTACTGATTTTTTGTTATTTTGAAAAGGTCTGAATTCCTATAAACTTAAGTATCTTCTACTAATAACTATTTTAGTATCTAGTTTTATTTGCTTCAGCTTTTTTATTTCATTTCTGACTTTTTTGTAAACTGATAGACACATCAATAACAATTAGGTAATGCGGTCATGTGTAGTAGATGAAAAACTTATTAGTGGTGGGCATTTGTGTAGAAATTACTACGCGTAAGTTGGTTTGTCATCTTTTCGTTTGTAACCAATAATTCTGTCAAATCTCAACCGATTTCTAAAAACGGTACGTCACTGTATTCGCAATGAAAAGGGCTTTAAAATGATGTGCCACAAGTGGGGTAGTTGCATTTGAAATTTTTAAGTTGGGGTTGCTAGGCATTAGGGGGATGAACATATCGAGTTGGCTTGACTGTCAAAAAAGCTCCCCCCAAGAACAAAAATCGACGGGTCTCGGCGAATTTTGAAATATGGTTTTCCAATTATAGGGGTGGTCAAATTTTCGTTGGGATACCCTGTATAAATATCTTCGAACAGAGTCGATTAATTTAATCTTTATTGTTCGTACGATCAGGCAAGTGTAAACGGCCTGTCTGACCTATTACTAATTGGTACTCTAATTTTGATATACTTTATCATCACCATGTTGTTTGAAGTTAATTAGGCCATGTTCAAATTATAAAATAAGACAACTGAAACGTGGTTACTTTTTTGCTAATAATTCTCTAAAATTTTGTAACCATTCTTTCGTTAGCGATATGATTTTTACCTTTTAATCATTTTTTTGCTCTATTTTAAAAAGTTTTAACTTAATTCAAATTAATGTTCTTCGTTACCAGCAATATGGGCATGCAAAAGATATCTAACTTCTCTATGCTATATATACAGGGTGTTTCAGTTCGAGTAAATCAAACTTTAACCACAAATAGAACTCAATAAGTAATTTAGAATTGCCTTATAAAGCAAGGATCTAAGTCTCACCATTTTAACTGTACAGACCCGTATTGGACGGTTTTTAAAATCATATTATTTATGAAGTCTTTGGTATGCTTATAACAAATTGATTCAAATTTGGTGTAGTGTTAATATTTTCACATGTGCAAAATTTAAAAATTTTTGTAGGTCAGTGTTGTAGGAACGGGTAAATCGTGATCTTTTTTACCTCAACTTTTACGCCAATAACCATAACACAAATGCTTCACCATAACACAAATATTGTCTTGCTTCGCCATAAATTAAAACGATATCCATCAACTCCGAGTTGCTATACACGTAAGCCATTTTTGACACTTGAAAAACTAATGTAAACACTATTCGGAATCACCTGGGGCCACGTGAAGAGAGAGCGCATTGTTTCAGTGCTCAACGCGAATAGCGCTAGAGACTACAGTAGTCCAGTAATGTAAGGGTTATAAATACTATAACTTTAATAATAATAACAATTTTTTTTCTCGGAAACTATAAAGATTTTACAAAAAATTATTTTACGATACTGACTCCATTCTTCATTCCCAAATTTTTTTGTTGAAGTTGTGAATCATCCTGTATTCATCAACATCGTGCCAAAAGTGACAGTTTTTTATAAAATTTCCAGATAAAATGACTTACAAGAGTTTGTGCAGCCAAAGTTTTTTTGCCTGAATTCAGTTAAATTTCAGTTTCATCAGAGTTTTAATCATATTCCTTTTTTATATGTATATCTAATTTGCAATTAACATAATTTTCAATAATAATTCTAGGCAACTTATAATTCTTCAATGTAGCAGCAATGTCACCGTTTGAATGCTTCCTGCGCTAAATTTGATTTGGTGTCCTGGTTTTCAATTGATTCCACTTCCACATCATGCATCTTCAGTTTTAAAATGTCTTGTATATCTGCAAGCTTGTTAAGATAGGTAACCGTTCCATAGAATGGCTCGTATACTCCGTAGATTAGGCAGCCCAAAATATCTAGCAGTTTCAATTAGTCTTACTATAGTTAACAAACAGTCGATCTTGTGTTGTTGCTACTGACCTAACAGTAGCGTACTTTTTATAAATTTCAACTATATTTTCCAAATTTCCAGCAGTTAATGACATAAGCTCCATGTTCTGTTGGTTTTTGACAATTCACTATCAACATATTACTAATATCTTCCACATCACCAACACTCATTTTATCGAATTCGTCATTTCTCCATCCACAAGTAATACCAAAATTTGCTACAACCTAAAATTAGAAAATACCTACTATTATTCAATGCACTCAAAGGAACTTACGTCAATATTATGTTCATTATTAGGTGATTCAGTTACAATTTTATGTATTATGTTTTTGCTGAACACTTCTATTTCTTGGCAAGGCATCTTGAACTGCGGACTTATCAGGCCTATTGTGCGTCTCCTGTTCAAACCTATTCAGTAAGTAGCTTTGTCCTTTTAATAACGTCCAAAAGCTTTCTTACTGACACTTCTCTTAGCTTCCTTCCTTTACAAGTTTTGAACTTACTTTGTGTGGGAAAGTCTTAATTGCTCTCGAGTGTCAGAGAATATGTATATGAGTTTATGTTTATAACATCTACGTATATTCTCTGCTAAACACGCCATTATCCCGAAAGATATCCTATACACTGTTCTTGGACAATAAATAAAGAAATTGTTTAAGATTGGTATCTTTTTCAGATATCAGTAAAGCTCTCATTATGGAATATTCCGACCAGAGTCAACAATTTGCCCTTTCCAATAAGGATATATTCTGCGTAAAATTATTCGCTTTTTGGGAATTCGCCAATCGTTGAAATGTTTATACATCAATTCATATTTTTTTTGTAACTTACCAGGTATTAAAGTTGATGCTGTTGCGTATAGCATCTACATCAGTACAATCACTATTAAATATTTTTAATTAAAACTTTTAAAAACAACAGTAGCGACTCCGACTACAGTGGCGTATTCAAAATATCCTTTTATATGTATGCATTATGAAGCCCACTAATTATTGCTTCAAATTTTTAGTAATAGCGAATNTACCTTAGAAAAATATATGCCCTTGAGCATAAAGCAATGGAGGCTAAACGTACAGAGAAGAATTGTTATCATTAAACATCTATAATCATCACAATCATAAGATTACATAGAACAATTAACAACAAAGTACTTAAAGAATATTACCTGCTAATTAATACGGGTTAAACACTTTGATTTTTCACTATTTTGCCACACTGCCCGCTGATCGTCTTGCTCCCATCTCCACACTGTTCTTACTTCAACTATTTAGATTTCCTTCCAGAATTCCCCACCTAAACGTTAGTTTTTGCCCTGCTTCCTTTATCAACTGTCAATATTACGTTTTCATTATTATACAACACCTACGTAACAGGTGACGTCGAAGTTGATACGATAAGTATGGTTTTGCACAATATGGAGAAAATGGACTCAAAAATCGTTCAGTCATAGTCCAAAATTAATTGTGCTCTACATAATATCTGAACATATCATTTCCGACATATTTTGACGAGCTGAAAAAGATCCCGTCATAGAAGAATATCATTTGAGCATATATCTTTCCAGCCATCTCCAACCCTAGCGAACGGAGATGGCTAACTTTTAAATTTCCTTGTATTCGAAAGTAAATATTTCTGAACTACATTTTTAGGAAAAATTTTTCGGTCAAAGTTTGCTCAATTCAGAGAGGAATATGGATTCGACAACATTTTCCTACCCCCATACTTGATGAGTTTTTTTTTTTCTTGGAGTTGTTCGGAATCGTATAGGGTTTTCATTGTTCTTTTCGAATATTAAATGTCGTTAGTGTTTTTATTTCAATTTTTGCGATTAGGACACCTCTACGCGGTGACATCCTTTTCGCAAATCATTTGAAAACAAAAGAGTAAGATACTCTAGAAACAAAGACTAACCATAATGTCGTTAGTCTGAGCAAAGCGGGCTAAATTGAGCGAATTTTGGGTCCATTTTCACTCTAAATATAGATTTTACAAGATACTGGCCAATTGTACGTAAATTCTGACTACGGTTTCGTTTTCAATTGGTCAAAATAAGTCGGAAATGATGACAGATATTTATGTAGAATAAAATAAATTTTGGACTATAACTGAGCAATTTTTTATCCGTTTTCACCTTAATTTTACAAAATACTGGTCGGTCATGCATGAATTCTGACAACGACATGGTTTTCAGCTCATCAAAATACGTCAGAAAAGTTATGTCAGATCTTTGGGTTTGGACTTTGATATCTGTAGTATTTGTATATGTTAGATGTTGCCGCACTTGCACTTATTCTAGAATACTCGTGCACTCCCTAACGGCGCAAGTACGNACAGTAGCGACTCCGACTACAGTGGCGTATTCAAAATATCCTTTTATATGTATGCATTATGAAGCCCACTAATTATTGCTTCAAATTTTTAGTAATAGCGAATGATAGCAACCTCTAAGGTGTGTAATAAGTCTCTCCGTTGTACTCATGTGGTTGTTAAGACAAACTTTTCATGCAATACAGATTGACTTTTTACTCTTGCATATAAAATAAATATTTTGATATGTTTGATAGATCTAATTTTAATAACGAATAACGTATCCTATGTTTATGACAATTTACAAAACTTGCTATTTAAAAACAAACTGTAAGCTAACTCTAAACTAATTCTTCTTGGTCTGTATCTTCACCACCTTTATTTTCTTGTGACGCTTCTTGCCCTTCTTCTTGGAATTGCTCCTCACAGACAGCATGCTGTTGACAGTTATCTGGGTCTTGATCCAAGGCAAGAACTTTACCAAGTTTGTGTACACCCCTGGCCATCCCTTCATCCCGCAGCCTATGCCGTAGCTCACGATACCTGAGGCATACCAAGTCCCGTTATCGCTGGACATCATCAACGGGCCTCCTGAGTCTCCTGTGCAAGCGTCCTTCTGTTTTTCACCCCCAGCACAGATCTGGGTGTCTTTGAGGTCTATGCTTAGGAAGGAGTATTTCTGTACGCATTCGTCCCTATCGAACGTGCCGATGTCCACTTTCATCTTTATCTTGCTGATGGGCTCTGAAAACAAATAGTTGTTGGGTATTTAGATATTGTATTTTCTAGTGCTGGCAANATTGACATCTCAGTCAACTGTGTGCAAGCAACCGAGACGGAGTAATTCGGCACGTGTGAAAGTCATAACATAGCAAGTGTTTTGTGGGTGTACACTACATAATTGGCGACGAGGATAAAACCAGATCGACAGTAAGTACAATTACCTATATTTATATCATTTTTGAAAATGGAGCCGAGGAAAAAAAAAATCGACAAATTTGATGGTATGTGTAAGGTCAAGTGCCGGCATATACAGGCAGGAAAAAGAGCAATTTGATTAAATTCAGATAAACTATAATATACAAAGGAATCGATATGATTAAATTCAGGAATTAGTGGCAAATTAACTGATGAATTATATTAATGTGATTAAATTCAGGAATTAGAAGTAAATTCGAAAATCGATGTGATTAAATTCAGAAATTGGTGACACGGTGGAAAGACACTGATGAATTAATACGATTACATTCAGGGATTAGGATTAAATTCGAAAATTTGGTAAACTAATTTGATTAAATTCAGAAAAGAGAGTTAAATTCTGAGGCAGATTACATAAATGGCAAATTGATTAGATGTCAGGTTTTGCCGAGGTTTTTATAGAGCTTATGAAATGAGCAAGTTATATTTAGGCTAGGGATAGGAACAAAAAGAGGAGAAGGTGAATCTGTCGGGGGGGATTGCGCATTGTTCCAATCAGAGACATCGGTCATAGTTTGAGTTTATGCTATTTCATAAATTATACACCAATGGTCCTAACCGCTTTATATTGAATATTTGTCATGCATTTGCACCTGTTCACATGCCGACACTTGCGGAAGGTAGGGGAATTAATACTAATCAAATTTGATGCTGTAGGAATGGAGGCTGCGATGCAAGGCTTGACCGCCATCGCCACGTTTAATTGTACCCATGACGAACGTGCAATGCGAAGCAAGTGGGAGAAGTGGAAGAGATCACTGGAAATATATTTGGAGGCTGCCTCAATTCAGGATCCGAAAAAGAGAAAGGCATTGTTATTACATAGCGGAGGGAGTGACTTACAAGAAATATTTTTTAATTTACCAGGGGCAAACATCGACGTTTCGCTGGTAGAAAATAAGGATATAGACGTTTACAAACACGCAATCGAGCAGCTGGACAAGCATTTTGCTCCAAAACAGAGCCGCATATATGAACGACATTTATTTAGATTAATATCACAGACGGCCGACGAGTAATTTGACAGTTTTCTTATTAAGCTACGACGACAAGCGGCAAAATGTCAATTTAGCAACGTGGACGAAAACATAATAGACCAAATTGTTGAGAAATGCAAGTCGGATAAATTGAGGAGAAAAATTTTGGAAATGGATGACACCAAAACACTAAATGATATTATTTCGATAGCTATGTCTTTAGAAACCGTTCAATCACAGATGGATAAGTTTACATCACGGACAGGCAATGAACAGCAATCAGAGATAAATAAAATTCAAAACGATTCCACGTTTCGAAGAACCAGCAAGCCAGGGGTTTTGAAGTCAAATTACGTCGAATGTTTTCGCTGTGGCCTTAAAGGTCACATAGCTAAAGATAGTACTTGCCCGGCTAGGAACAAAACATGTTCAAGTTGTGGAAAACTGGGGCATTTTAAATTAAAATGCCGAACAAGGCCAGTAAACCTGCATCGAGGCTCAAATCAACCTAGCAAGAAAAGGAGACGTGAGGAGGACATCCGTCATGTGGAACAAGAAGGTGAGGATGACGCGGATGAATATATTTTTCATATGGGGGAAGATGATGGAATTAAATGTGTGGTGGGAGGAGTCGAAATAACAATGGTCATCGATTCCGGTAGCAAGAGTAACATAATTAGCGGAATTACTTGGAAACGCATGAAGGACAACGGTGTTAAGGTCGTCAGACAAATGAAAGGCTCCGATAAAACATTTAAATCCTATGCAAACGTTAATCCTTTGGTAGTATTGGGATCTTTCGAATCTGAAATCGAAATAGCGAATAAAAGCTCTCGAGAAAGGTTTTATGTGATTGAAAATGGAAAGACGGACCTCTTAGGCAAAGAAACGGCTATAAAATTGGACGTTTTGAGATTAGGGGTCGACATTCAATCAATTGAGCAACAATCATCACAGCCTTTTCCAAAAATAAAAGGAGTGTCAATAAATATCCCAATAAATGCTGAAGTGAACCCCGTCATACAACCTTTGCGGAGGATACCAATACCATTAGAGGAAAAAGTAAATGCAGAACTGGATAAACTGATTCAGCGCGACATCATCGAGCCAGTAAACGGGCATTCAAGTTGGATTTCGCCGATGGTACCAGTTTTGAAGTCAAATGGAGAGGTTAGACTCTGTATCGACATGAGGAGAGCAAATCTTGCCATACTCCGGGAAAATCACCCATTACCTACTATGGATACATTTTTAACGAAACTACGGAAAGCACGCTTCTTTTCCAAACTAGATGTAAAGCAAGCTTTCCATCAGATTGAAATATCACAGAACTCACGATACATAACCACTTTTATTACACACAGAGGATTATTTAGGTATAAGAGGTTGTTGTTTGGCATCACTTGTGCCCCTGAAATATTTCAGAAAATCATGGAAGGGATACTTTCAAAGTGCGATGGGTGTTTTACTTTTATAGACGCTATAATTATATACGGAAAAACGGAAAATGAACATGAAGATCGGCTTTTTACGGTACGACAGACTCTGGAGGAATACAACATCCTATTAAATCTTGATAAATGTGTATTTATGGTCGAGGAGGTTGAATTCCTGGGACATATCCTAACTAAAGAGGGAGTGAAACCATCGCCCAGCAAAATTGAGTCCATCAAAAAGTTCCGCCAACCCCAGAATCCAGCTGAATTAAGGAGTTTCCTTGGACTAATCACCTATGTTGGAAAATTCATACCGAATTTGGCTACTACAGCTGAACCTTTGAGAAAAGCCTTAAAAGAGGCGGATTGTAAAACCACAGTCACCTGGGACCGAGACCAACAAGAAGCTTTCGAAAAGCTCAAAAAGGAGCTATCAAGCCAAAAGTGCCTGGGATATTATTGCCCACGGGCAAGAACACAATTGATTGCAGACGCAAGCCCAGTTGGTCTGGGAGCAGTATTAATACAATTTAACCCTTCAGATGAACCCCATGTAATAGCTTATGGAAACAAAACTTTGTCAACAATAGAAAGGAAATTTTGCCAGACTGAAAAGGAGGCTTTGGCCTTAGTATGGGCCGTAGAAAGTTTCAACATTTATCTTTTTGGGAAAGAATTTGAACTTATTACGGACCATAAGCCACTACAATACATTTTCACACCAACTTCGAAACCTTGCGCAAGAGTAGAAAGATGGATTCTAAGGCTGCAATGTTACCAATACAAAGTAATTTATAAGCCAGGCAAGTCAAACATAGCAGATCCGCTCTCCAGGTTATGTGTGGATTCGGAGTCCAAAATGTTTGAAAATGATGAATACATTCGCCAGATCGTACAATATTCTCTCCCAGTGGCCATTGGACTCGCAGAGATCAAGCAGCAATCTGAACTCGATACGGAGATACAAAAGGTAAAGGAAGGATTGAATAGGGGAATTTGGGATAGCGCTGTTTCAACCTATAGGATATTCGAGAAAGAACTGTGCTTGTATGGCGAAATTCTACTCCGGGGAACTAGGATAGTTGTTCCTCACAGTTTACGCCAACGTACCTTAGAACTGGCCCATACAGGCCACCCTGGCATCGTGTCAATGAAGAAACGGCTGCGAACAAAGGTATGGTGGCCAGGAATGGATACGGAAGCTGAAGACATTGTCAAAAGATGTAAAGGATGCACGCTGGTATCCGCACCCGATCCACCGGAACCATTGAAGAGACGAGAACTACCAACACACCCTTGGGTAGACGTGGCAATTGACTACTTGGGACCTCTTCCCGGGGGAGAATACATTTTAGTAATTATCGACTATTTTAGTCGTTTTATGGAAATTGGAATAACGAAGAATACGACGGCTGAAATCACGATTAAAATACTTCGACAAGTTTTTACCAGATTAGGATACCCCTATACGATTACAGCGGACAATGGATCACAATTTGGCAAAAGCGCAGAGTTCCAAAAGTTCTGCAAGATAAATAATATTAGATTATTCAGTACGATTCCATATTGGCCCCAACAAAACGGAGAAGTGGAACGCCAAAATCGTAGTCTGTTAAAGCGATTAAAAATTAGTAAAGCTATGGGGAGTGACTGGAAAGCCGACCTTCAAGATTATTTGCTAATGTACCACAACACGCCACATAGCACCACTGGCAAAGCCCCAGCTGAGTTGATATTTGGCCATTTACTGAAAGATGCGTTGCCAATGTTAAATAATTTTGATACGGAAGAAGAAATAAGAGACAGGGATAAAACAGAGAAACAAAAAGGAAAAGAATACACGGATCGTCGAAGACATGCTAGAGAATCCAGAGTAACTAAGGGCGACACTGTGCTAGTGAAGCGGATGAAAAAAGAGACGAAACTGGACACGACCTTTAAAGACGCCCCACACACTGTACTGGTCAAAGAGGGTAGCGACTTAGTGGTCCAAAACAACGCCACAGGAGAAAGAGTGAGAAGGAACGTCATACATCTGAAGAAAGTGGGCGATGACTGGGCGGTACTTAAAGACTAAAATATTGGTGATTATAGATTATTGTCAAAAAAAAAAAAGAAGTGAGGNGAACAATATTTCAACAAAACTCTAGAAATCATATTATGATCTGAGGTCATCCTATTTTTCAGTTTTTTCACAGCTTTAGTGATATTCAACTCGATTCCAATGCTAACAAATGGCAAATTGCCAGCAGCCCTTGAAATTGATGACATAACTGATTAAGGCGACTAAAGAAATTACTGAACCTGTCAACAATGTCATGTGGGTTATTTTAATTCATCATCACTATAAAACATCTTTCCTAGAATTCTATAATTACATTTTTTGTCAGACATGAAACGAAATCACCTAATATATTCAACTAAATTGCTCTCAACAGTTTGAATGGTGGTTTTAAAGAAAATGCTTTCATTCTATTACTTTATTTTAAAGGTTATTCAAATTAGTTCTAAAAAATTGTATAAAAATTATCTTCAAATGAAACGCAAAAATATTCAAAGAGTATTTATGAAAGAGCACATACTTAACTATTAAAATTCTTAAATAACAAGTTTTCAAATGAGTTGTCTCAAAGTGTTACAATATAACTTTGGAAAGAGATCAACGGGAAATTTAGTTATGATGACAGTTAAATCATTTCTATGTTCTATAGATGGAATTATAAAACATTTATTGAAAATGAAATCTTTAAACGACAAAAAAGAAAGCATAAAACGAATAGGGAATAATTATTGTTTAAAGGTTTATAATATTATTTAGTTATTTCAACATACCACCTAGCAATCTATTTATTTATTAATATCGTTTGAACCCAGGATATAATAATATAAAATGTATCTGTATTAGAAAACAAAAAACAAAAACTGAAAAGTGGAAGTTTGAATTTGTGTTATGGCTTGGCCAGCACGAGTTCAGATCTCAATCCCATTAAATACGACTGAAATATATGTAGTTAATGACATGGGATGTTTCTTTTTTGAAATATGTAAAACGATAATCAAACAACATTCTGAGAAGGAATCATCGACTTAAGGGTGTAAACAGGGGTGAAAATACTCGATTTTGAATTAATTGAAAGTATTGTTTGTTTCCATATAAAAATTTGCAGCTATACGGGTGTTTGTGTTATTTTTTATTAAATGTTAATCAAATTGTTACATTGACACAAAGCATTTTTTTAGCAGTGTATGTGTGTTTTTGAAAATAATTCCTTAAAATTATTATTTAATGGCTACTTTTCATTAAAAAAACTTAAATAAAAGCTAGATGTATAATCATTTTTACATACCATTCTCAGTTTTGCCCCATCCACTAAGAAAATATCTTGCTGGAATTTGACTATCGTTTTTTGGCATACAAATAGGTTGAACGAAATCTGAAATAAAATATTCAATGAGTAATCGTATTCGAATTATTGAAAATTTTAGATACTACTTAATTACTTAAACGTCAGTTTGATAATTTATGTCTGGTAGAGTGGCCACCTTATTCTCCAGACATGGCAGCTTTAGACTTTGGAATTAAAACTAAACAGAATACTTGGTTTTACGCTGAAATTAACTAATTTGTTCATACCTGAGAAAATAGCCCTTTTCTTTAAGTGGATGATAGCGATATCATTGTGTTGGGCAGTATTCTCTGGGTTGTAGTCTGGGTGTGTAATAACTTTGGCAATTTTCCTAGTCTGTATCGGGTCAGCACAGAATGTTCCTCCAGGGGTGCAGTCTGTCTTTGTTTCAATATTATGTTCTCCCAACACAACTGAAAATCTGAAAATGTTTTGATAATAATTAACCAGTTCCAAACTTTGGTAACATAAAGTAGATATAATTTCTAAAATAAAAAATAATAAATTAATAGACCCAGGCCCGATATTTTTTTGTTCCGAAACTGTGACGCGTTTAAAGACTTAAATTGGCTGGCGCAACATTTCCTAGGTGAGGAATTTAAAAGCAACAATATCTTTAACAATTGCAGCAGTGTTGAATAATATTGTCCGAAAATAAAAATATAGTCCAGAAAAAATTATTGGTAGACATTTTATAACGAGGAAGGCTATGTAGAATGATATAAAAAAGTAACTCGAAAGAAGTGATTTACGTGTTATTTCACTTTTTCTACTGCCCACTAAAATCTACACAATCATTCGGAATATTACTTATTTTTTATTGTAAACAATTAAATTACCTACAATTTAAGATTTTTCACTAATTTGTTAACAGTAAAATAAAGGTAAATGACCAATGACCAACATGTGTGCCAAGCACCGATTTAATTGACCGTGAATTTGTTGCTACAGCAACTTGAAATTAATTTCGTTTGTTTTTTTTGCAACTAATTGTTTAATTACTAAACGTTAATTTTAACAGTTAACATCGCAGATATAGGTTCCAATTGATCCCAAGAAACGTATCGAAAATGAGAAATTTTAAAAAGTAGAACCTAATTTGAATCGTTCAAGTCAAAAACCTCGCGCGCGACCGAGAGCGACGCTCACACGCATGCGAGGGACCGGCGCTCCTTCTCCCGAGTGCAGACCATTCGTTAACGTTAACGATAACGCGTTTATTACATGAACTAACAATGTAAAGCTTTTTGGAAATAAAAGTTAAACCCTTTCTTTAATTGTCTCTAAAATTCTAGTCCGATACGTCAAATTAACAATTAACATGACAAAAAAAAGTTGTCTTGGGAACAAAGAGGCGTAGGTAGGTAATATCTCTCTTAAAAATTACTATAAAAATAAGCTCTATTTAATAGAAAAAGAGCCAATTCCCGAGCGGCTTTTGCATCACCCTGGGAAAATTTGTTTATAACGCTGTTTTGAACGTTCCACTTTGTTGTAAATAGCGACTTAATTTCAACTTTTTGAAATTTTTCTTCTTCGATACTTTTCTTTGGATCAATTAGAACCTATATCTACGATATTAACTTCAAAAAAATGAACGAAATTAATTAATAAATAGCTGGAGCAACAATTTCACCGTCAATCGATGATTACCGATGCCTTTGTCATATGTATTGGTCTTTGGATTGATCACCTTGTCCATGAATTTCATCAACATCCATCGCTTTTTGCAATAATATAGCACAATTTTCGAGAACTGATTTTTCCGCGTTCAACCTTTATCTTACAGTTAACAAATTGGTGAAATATGACGTTACATACCTTAAATTGTAGGTAATATAATTGTTTACAACATAAAATGACTAATTTTCCGATAGGTCGTCTAGATTTTCGTGAGTTGTAAAAAAAGTGAAAAACGGGTAAATTTGCTACTTATTTGCAATTTGCCAACTTAGTGTCACTTCATTGCAGTTACTTTGTCGATATTATCATTCTACCCTTCCCCGTCAGAAAGTGGAATAAAATGTCTACTAATATGTTTTTCACGTTCAAACTTTAATTCGAGTGGAATATACTGTTTCTGAATTAGTTCAATTAATCTGGCACTGAGTCACAACTACAAGAAATATTATGTAACAGGCGTCTATTTTTATGCATTATTGAGTTATAATTATGGACAAGCCTCTCGAATAATTTAGATTTACATAGCTGGTTAGAACAATGAGATCATTTAAAATTAGTCGGCGTTCAATCATTAATTCATCTTTTCAATAATTACTTCAAGACTGATTTGAAATTACTTTTTGGACTTGCTATACTTACAGCGGTCCTCTTCTTTGAGTGTGATGGGGATGTGTACAGTGTCCTGCAGTGATGACGAACTTGGAGTGTACCAAGAATCCTGAGCATCCAAAGGATTTATGACCGTGTTTGTCTTTGTGCATGAGACGGGCCATCCAGGGATATTCACCTAAGGAAGCTTTCTTCCCTCCAATTATCCTCCCCCTCGGAATAACTGCCTTCTGACGTCCACAGATTTTCGGGAAAATTTGGCCATCATCAACTGAATCGGAATTGAAAAGATTAGTTTTACCAAGAGTGTTTTTAAGAGGTTGCTCCTTGGATCATTTTTGACTAAAAAGTCTTAATGAATCAAAGATAACTGGTAGAAGCAAAAGTTCTTTGAATTATATAAATCCGTCAGAATATATCTGAATTATCATCGACATATTTAAATTAAGTTATTAGGAAATATCTTTTTAATTGATTTAGTCAAATTGTTTGGAAGATATGGTGTAGGTGAGTACTGGAAGATACTAGCAGAATTTTGACGACGGTAAGTATTTTGAAAATTGGCCATTTTCCATCTGGTTTCTATGAAAAAAGATGTTTTTCTTTTTATATTGATTAGTTGTATAAATAAAAATCACATCGCAGACTCCGGGGATCAAGATAAGGTGATTTATATCAAATTACCTACATACAGTGTTTCGAAAACAGTTGAACAAAATGAAACAGTGAATTCGTCAACCACTTAGAGCTTAGGAGTGTTTTATTCGATTTTTTTTTTCTTAGGCACTTATTTAAAAGTGAGTAGTAAAATCAAGTTTCCATAGCTTTTTTTCAAAACCGGCTCAAATTGAAAACTCCAATTGGTCCTACTCAAAACAAAGGTTTCGAAAAAATTTTTAGTTTTTGTACAAATAATTTGTTTGCTACGTTGGACCCACTATTAAAAGACTGTAACTCTTATGTTTTATGTCTTTACATATTACAAATATTTTGCAGCAAGCAAATCCATTTATTGCAATTTGTTCTGGACAATTGCTGGCAACTGGGAATACTATTACTATTTTTTCTCCAACCGAAATCCCCCATTTAATTATTAATTTGTGCTTTGAAATTATTCAAACCAAATTTGGATAATAAAGCAAAGTAGGTAAGTAGGATATATCCATGTAGTCATGGATACTTCATCAACATTAGTCGCCATATTGCTTCAGTTGTGTTTATTCGTGATTGTTTGTGGTTCAATTTGCTAAAAACTATGTAAAAATGGAATCTAACGAAGATTTAGGTATACATGAGGAGATACTGGAGTGTGCCAAAGAGGCTTCTTTGAATCTTCTCACAAAGAAATATTTCTACCAACTTTTTATGGATTGGTGCAAAGAAAAAAACATTAAGTTGTATTCAGAAGATGTATTGATTGTATATTTCTCAAACTTATCAAATAAAATGAACCCAACAACGCTTTGTTCACAATATTCATTGTTGCGGTCAAGGTTGGATATAAATAAGGGGATTGATATAACCAAATATTCAAAGTTACGTGCTTCTCTCTAGAGACAAAATGAGGGATATGTACCGAAAAAATTCCGAGTATTTACAAAGGACCAAGTTGATTGCTTTTTGAATAGTGCACCTGATAATTTATATTTGATGATGAAGGTAAACGCTTTAAAAATAAAAGAACAACATTTTTTAAAAGCTTCTTCATAGGTCGTCCTAATATTGGGGGTTGCAAGCGCATACCGTTCTTATGAATTAGTCAACTTAACAATAATTGATAATGTTAAAAACGTGAAATCCGCCTTAATTATCAAAATTCCCAACACCAAAACCAAGAGACCACGTTTACTGTGCTGGAAGACAATTATTTACGTTATATCGAAAACATGTTGCTTTACGTCCAGCTAGATTGGTAGAACGTCGATTATTTCTCAAATACGTTAGTGGAAAGTGTCAACGAATGGTGGTCGGTATTCATAAAATCAGTGCCGTCTCGCAAGAAGTAGCAACATTTTTTTAAGCTGGACAACTGGAAAGAGTACAGTGGTCACGCATTACGACGAACGTCTGCTGCAGCAGGAGATCGAGCACTGTGGCGGAAGGCTACATTGAAGACTTTTGTTCAAATTTAATGTATTTCTCGAATAGCTAAGGAAATAATAGAAAAGGTATTTTATTTTGTACGTAAACAGGGTAAGTTTCAGCTTTAGATGCACTGAAATGTAGGATGATCGAGATTTTGGTCTTATATTCTTATATTTGGGGAGTCAAAATAAAAAAGTTTTCTTAAAGCCCTCTTAAAGATGTCACGACTGTTCGAATGATGTAATAAGAAGCATTTCTGCGAATAATATTTAAACAACCATAATACTATTAAGAAATACACATTTTAGACTTATTTTCTTATTTTTATTAACAGAACGCTCCAAATATAAAAACGAAACCCTTTAACAGCCTATATTTTCGGCATATTTATCACTATGTCACGAACTTCAATTGAAGACTCTGGTGCAAGAAGAATATAAGTGCATTATTTTGAAAAAATAATTTTGCATAAATAGTAATCTCAGTAAGAGTTAATTTTTGTATATGCACATTTAGATAAGTTGATCAAAATCCTCTTATTCTGATCCCAGGAGTCTATTGGTCCCAACCTTTCACAAATATTTTTTTTTTGGTTTTCGATGCAATGCAATTAAAGGTTATCTAAAATCGGCGGGGTTTGAAATATTTTAGAAGCTTCATAGCTTCTGTGTGTGTCATCACTGGCTACTTCTAAAAAAAACAAAATTTCTAACAAGATTTCTTTTACTTTTTTTTATTAAAAAATTATAAACTTATTTCATTAGCTCATGTAGAATTGATTACAGTTATCCAAAATCCAAAATATTCTGCAACGCCGAAGTTCGAGGACTTTATTGACTTTTTTCTGGCATCATCATCACCAGATTTAGCGGGCTTTCTTTTACAACTAGTTAAATCATCAAATATCATCACTTAACGCCAATCTTCTTCAGAAATTTTAAACCTCAACACCCCGTATCTCCGTAGTTAGTAACTTCTTAATCTAAAATAACTCGGGAAACTACCTTCCGAAATTATGACATAGACTTGAAAAACACACTGTATAATAATTTCCAATATACTTGTACTGCTTTAATTTTGTCAAGCTGGCTTTATTTCTAGATTTTCGAAAAATTAAGTAAAATTAACAATATTTTAAGAACATTACTAAAATTTCCTTAGCAACTTGGATACCAGCAATAAAGTATTGAAATTATCGAATTGTGTATATATTTTTTTCTTATCGTATTTCCATTATAGCAGATTTCTAAGAAATACAATATTAGAGTTGTACATAAACAGAGATAAAGGCTATCTATATTTAGAGCTTTAACACTTCAACTTGATTTTACGCGTTTGTTTATAGACACTAAACATTTGGGAACAATTTTTTTTAAGATATAAATATATTTGCCCTTCGTCACAGTACAACTATTATCTCTACAAGATAAAAACATCTTACTGGACACTGTTGTCAGATTTCCCACGACTGCTCTAGATTCTTCAGATGAAGACTTCGTCACGTTAACACCGCTCTCAGCTGTTTCACTATTCCTTGTTGGGGTTTGTTTTAGAGCAACAGGCACTAAACAAACACAGAAAATTACACATAACCAATACAAGCTGATCAAACGACCCATTTTGCTACTTGCCAGCAAGAAATAATCAAAAGTTGGTGTTCGCGGTTGATAAACTCTGATCTGACCAGCTTATCTCTTGGATACGTCCGCCAAATTGTAATAGGTATGGATAAAAATAATTCAAATTAGAATCTCATCACATATGGGTTAGGACATTTTATTTTTAAAATGTCTTTTTACGGATTGGGGAAAGTACTACACGATGCGTTAAAATTAAATTGGATCGGCAAATTTCTGTTGGATTAAGACGAAACGTTTTTATGAACAATATGTTTCGTTGGTACATTTAAGTTTTTTCGAAAAGTTGCAAAACTATTGGTAACTTGGTATCTTCACTGCACGATTTGGGTGGGAGTATTGTGCTCGATGTTTTATGAGAATTTTTTTGACAATGTTTGGAATGATTAAAACAGGGATTTATTAATAAAATAAGTATTTGTAATAAACAAGTATTTCATTATTGATTTTCAGATTCTTTATACAACGCAAAATGGCAATAATTTAGAGCCTACTACACGTACTAACCAGATATCGATCTGGTTACTGAACTGCAGAATACCAGTATCAATATTCGATCACATTTTGCCCATTTTTGGATTGTAGTCGATTGAAATTTGTAGTATGATGATGGTAGGTGGTTTTCCGGAATTCGAAACTTGGGGGAATTGAGTTTCTGCAGCGCGTCGTAGGTGGTTGCACTGCTGACAGCATCAGCCAATGGCAGTGTCGTCTGCTACGGCTCTGGTGTTTCCGGGTGACTGGGAGCTTCGTAAAGATCTTCAGCGAAAATTTTTGAAACATAGTCGAAAATGTTATTCCGTTGAACGAAAATTTGAAATTCGTTCGGGACTCTTGAAATTGTATTTTGTTCTGAAGCTCCGATTATAGTGCAAGAATTATTTTGAATCAGAAACAATAATTTTTCGAAAAAATTCTATTTGAAACTTAAATTGTATTTCCAATATTTTCCCAACTGGTTATGTCTCCACTAATGAAGTAGACTTGCAACCACTTACCTCTTCTGATGGAAGTATTGTCTGCCCCAGAATGAACTAAAATCATCACAGAAAATTGTCTGAAATGGTAATCCGTAGCACTTCGGATACAGCAATTTCAAATATGCAGTGATTCCTCTTGGAGTGCTTCTTATTTTGTTACCAGTTAAATGATTAGCACATTTGCCATTAGCATATACAGGGTGTCCCACTAAGGTCTGCGAAGTACGATATTAGAGAAAGTATAGGCCCTAGAGCTTCGGGAAAAAATCGATGGAAATAGTTTTCAAGTTCGTAGCAAGCCGTGGAATCACCGTACTAAGATTGCCTCCCTATCATTGTGAACTAAACCCAATCGAGTTAATTTGGGCACAAGTTAAAGGGGAAGTGGTTCGAGAAAATAGATCATTTAATGATGATGATGTTCAACGCACTTGAAAACGTTACAACAGAAGACTGGAGAAAATGTATTAATCACGCTGAAAAAGAGGAAAACAAAATGTGGGATGTAGATAATATGGTTGATGAAGTCATCGATCCTTTTATTATCAATGTCGGTAATAGTGATAGTGATGATACATAATGGAGTACCGGAAACTGACTGGGTGATTATCTTTAAATGGGGTATTATTTTTGGAATTGTTATTATGATTTTTTTAAATATTATTTGTGTTGTTACTAGAAGAAAATTTTATTTTGTTATTTTTTTGTTATATTAGGTATTATATCTGCATTTGTGTTAATATTTGAAAAAAAAAATATTTTGTTAATGTTAGAATGTTGTTTACTGGAGAAATGTTAATTTAATGTGGAAAATAGGGCTACTGGCAAACTACCCACTATAAAAAAATGGTAACGGACCATAAGCAATACTTTATGAGTGGTGTGGAAACTTGCTTTTATTTATAACGTTCTCTCATAATGTCGTTTAGTAGATTTTTAAAATATCCATCATATTAAAGGATAATACTACTGTTCTTGACTCCTTCAGAAAAGAAAATCGTCCCCGCATATGTCTCAGACCAATGCTACTAAATTTTGCCCTATTCAAACATACTGGTTAGAGTTTAATAACAATATTAAAAAATATATATTGTTTGATATACCTGTACAATTGCGGAGTCACATTTACATTTCCGAAATGTTTGTTTATGTATTTTCTACACCTATTCTTGTTATGAATACATTTTTATAGTATTCCTTTCTAGATTAGTAAACAAATATTAATAAATTATTGTCACTTCTTAGAAATGTCACTGAATTGACTTCAAATGGTACAGTATTAATTATCATAAGCCTAATATCTTTCAGGATGCATAAACGGTTTAATCTATCTCACCATTTTAATCCACTTCTAAAATTATTATTTCTAATTACTTAAATCTGGGCTACCACATGTCTTCCATTCTTAGGAAGCTCTGCCGTAACTAAATGAAATTACGCGCAGAGTAAACCCTTTATATCTGTTGCGGTATCTCGTTTTAATCCCCTGAAATTCCCCCTGGAAAAATAAATAGTAAAGGATTCGCAAAAATGCCATATTTCGCCGTTATCAAGGTCATTATCAAAATTACAGCCGGTGAAAGCCCTCTGGTTATTGCGCCATCCGTTTAGAATTAGTCGTTTTTTTTTTGGTTCGTGTCCGTTACTAACATTGGTAGCAGATTCCGGAAAAAGCGTTATCTGGAATGGAAATTTAAACGCGTTTTTCGTTATTTATGAGATGCATCCATTTGTATGGTATATTTATTACAAATATATTGTATATTTAAAAAATTATAATCAGTAATTATGTATGTCACATTAAAATATCAAAGTAATATCAACAAAATACACAAAATCGAAACAAAATACGTTTTACATTATTGAATTTTTTAATTTCTCGTTCCATTGAAAGTCTACAAAAATTACGTTTGCAACATTATTCTTATTATTATTGAGACAAAATGTATACAGATTGAAAAAATTACTGACAACAATACAAAAGTAAAACTATAAAATTAAATATAAAAAGGAAAAAAGATGAACATGTTAACAATTATATGTATAACATAAAATAACATTACTGGGGAAACTGGGGAAAGATGATATTTTTTCTGAAAGATTCAGAATTAATAACTTTATTTAAATACAGACAAAATTTTTCTTACAAAACCATGAAGCAATGAAATTGAAACAAAAAGATATGCAAGGTTTAAAAAACATCCTACATATTGTCCAAAGATACGTTCCTGATCCAGTAACCAATATTTCCTTAAAGAGAACATCAAACAAAAGTTTTGCTTTTGGAATTTAAGAAAATTATTTGAGTACACCTTGAGTGTAATCTAGATATATTAAATAGAACTTGAGACATAAGAATTGGGGGCAATATTATAAAAAAAAGACAATGAAGAACAATTTCTTCGCAAATCCAAACTAGCAACGTTAAATATTGTTTATAGTATGTAATAGTGTATATCTATCTCTGGATCAATTCCAATTTCTTTAAAGTACAAGAATTTACTATAAATGTTTTCTATCGAGATTTTATAATACTGATAATATGGATTCCATACGATAGAACTGTTGTTCAGTTGTTGTAAAATCAATCCATACGATTTTGCTCTCTCATGTGTCTTAGTATGACATGTATTCTTGATAAACCACAATCAAAAAGTACACCAAGGTTTTTAACGAGTCAGTAATAGCACATTCAAAATGAACAGGTAATCATTCTCTGGTAATAGAAACAATTTTACACTTGGATTAAGGAGCAAAATTCATTTCTAAAACACCAAATCCGTAATTTTTTTTTTATATCATCAGCAATCATAGTTAATTACAATCAACTGATTGACAAATGTTGCTAATAAAATGCTACTGAGGTCAAAATCAGACAGGATAAGAACGCTTTCCGCAAGGGCATTTTGCCAGGTATTCTGAATGTACTGCTGAACCTTCTGATTCAACTAAAGACCAGAACTATTGTGAATTAAATGGAAGTGAATTTTGGACTTTGTTTTGCTAATTTTTAAGGGCTCCCTTAATTTGGCATTACATTAGTCTACTTAAATGTTCAAGTCTATTTGAAAAATATACAGGGTATTAATGAACTGATGTCAAAAATTTAAAGCAGTGAAAAAGGATCAAAAACTGATGTCACAAACTTGTATCGGAAGTTTAAGGTCATAGAGAAAAAAAGGTAATTAAAAATGCGTTTAAAACTGTTTTGAAACTGCTGAAATACATATATTTTATAGCGGCGAGTACTTACAAAAAATTCTATAACACATTTTTACGAGTTTGTAAGTTTCTTATATTGGAAAGTCAGTTTGTAATACATTGTTGTAGTGATTGCTGTGCTGTTTTTCGCGAGTACATTTAACAGCCGTATTTCCAAGATTTCTTTTGAAAATGGCGCAATTATTTAGCAATCGCGAATATTATGATATGCTCATAATTTATGGTGAAGCAAACGAAAATGCCCACAGAGCTTGTGCAAGATATTTAGATCTCTCGAAGAAGATCCGCATCGTAGCACCGGAAATTTGCACAAGTAAATATTTCGCATTCTGTTGTGTGGCGGATTTTACGAGAAACCTAGTTGGATGGTCCCCTCGGTCCCCGGACCTAGCCCCTTTGGACTTCTTTTTGTGGGGATATGTCAAAAGTGTTGTGTATTCCACGGAAGTTCGTGACATCGACCAACTGCGACATCGTATTGCCGAAGTTAGTAATACGATTCGAGAGGACGTGGCAACGCTGCAACGCGTGCGAGCGAATTGGATATGTCGCGTTGAAGCTTGTGTGCAAGCAAATGGTGGGTACATCGAACATCTTCTATGANGGAAGTTCGTGACATCGACCAACTGCGACATCGTATTGCCGAAGTTAGTAATACGATTCGAGAGGACGTGGCAACGCTGCAACGCGTGCGAGCGAATTGGATATGTCGCGTTGAAGCTTGTGTGCAAGCAAATGGTGGGTACATCGAACATCTTCTATGAAAACCAGCAGTTCTCAAAAGGTGGCTTCTTGCGATGTTGAGGT